TAAAACAATTGTTAAAAATGTCAAGATCATAAAAGACAAAGGAAGCATGAGGAATGAATACAGTATATGATCCTGCATAGAATCCTGGACCAGGAAAAATAGCAATAATGGATACTGGTGAGATTAACTGTTAAAATTTAATCTGGGTTGTAGGCCGCCGCCGCGGCTCACTAGGCTAATCCTCCGCCTTGCGGCGCCAGCACACCGGGTTCTAGTCCCGGTCGGGTGCTGGATTCTGTCCCGGTTGCCCCTCTTCCAGGCCAGCTCTCTGCTGTGGCCAGGGAGTGCAGTGGAGGATGGCCCAACTGCTTGGGCCCTATACCCCATGGGAGACCGGGAGAAGCACCTGGCTCATGCCATCGGATCAGCGCAGCCCCCGGGCAATGGGGGGGGGAACCACCGGCAAAAGGAAGATCTTTTTCTCTGTTTCTCTCTCTCACTGTCCACTCTGCCTGTCAAAAAAATAAATAAATAAAAAAATAAAAATGAAATGCAGTGTATTGGAGTGAAATAGACATTTTGAGATTCACTGATTGTTCACAGTCTTTGTCTCTTCTATTGAGAAATATTATTTTTCTTTTCTTTTTCTTTTTTTTTTTTAATTTTTGACAGGCAGAGTGGACAGTGAGAGAGAGAGAGAGAGAGAAAGGTCTTCCTTTTGCCATTGGTTCACCCTCCAATGGCCGCCGCGGCCGGCGCGCTGCGGCCGGCGCACCGCGCTGATCCGATGGCAGGAGCCAGGAGCCAGGTGCTTTTCCTGGTCTCCCATGGGGTGCAGGGCCCAAGCACCTGGGCCATCCTCCACTGCACTCCCTGGCCACAGCAGAGGGCTGGCCTGGAAGAGGGGCAACCGGGACAGAATCCGGCGCCCCGACCGGGACTAGAACCCGGGGTGCCGGCGCCGCTAGGCGGAGGATTAGCCTAGTGAGCCGCGGCGCCGGCCCACAGGCTGTTTCTGACAGTGTGCTCTGGGTACGTCAGAGGCGCTGGGAGTAGCGGGGAAACACCTTCCAGCTGTTTCTAGTCACGCATCACTGTAGGGCGGGCAAGTCAGGAGGAAGCCACCTCACCTCTGATAGTCCTCCAAAGCCATTCCCTCCTTGAAAGCCGGGTAGAAGGGGACGGAGTAAGGGCACTTCCTGTGTAGATGAGCAAGAATGAGGTCCCCCACCCTGGGGTGGAGCTCCCAGATCCCTGAGGCCACCACCGCGATGGGGAAGGCGGCTTCGTGGTGAGAGGCCACTTCCTCCTCGCCTTGTTTCTGGAACACAGAGATGGATCCGACTTAGAGGCCTGAACGCTGTCTCCCAGCCTTTTCTCCCCTACAAGGAGCAAGGTTTTCTCACCACAAATTTCTCTGCCAGTTTGTACTGGACAAAATCCAGCCCCTGTGGGTTGAGTGTGACGGATACAGAGCGCCCACCAGACTGAACGGGTTTTCCAGAGAGCAGACTGTGAATCTTGTCAAAGATCTCCTTCAGCTTCGAGCCTAGACATGACACAGAAAAGGTCAGTTAACAGCTACACCTGCAGCTCGGGCTTCTTCCCAACACTGTAATAACAAAGCGTCCATGCAGTCCAGCCGTGCAGTCCCAAAGAGGTTCAGAGCCTGAAGACAAAACACGGACACAGAAGAAAGGAGGACAGCAGAACACAGGGTGTGGGGTGCAAAGTCATGGACGGCACTACTCCGGATGAGCGTCTCATGTGGGAACCCAGTCATTCTGAAACTGACACGTGAAGCAAAGACATAAACAGCAGCAAACAGGCATTGAATTCTGCATTGCAGATCTCATAGAGGAGCCAGCTCATGGTTCTTCCAAGGGGCTAACGTCCAACGTCCTCAGAAACTCAGACGTGGGTCCCTGTCACTAGCATGCCTCAGAGATCTTGAGTGCCCCACCCCTCTCCACCCAACGATATGAGGTTGCAGGTGGTAAAGCAGCAGGCCTTGTAACTCGTGCTTGCAGGCAGGGGCCTTGCATGTGTCCTGTGGACAAGAGCAGCTGCCCGTTGACAAGAACGGAGACGTACAGAGGAAAGACGAGAGAAAAAGAGAACCAAAGTGGCTAGCCCCATTCCTGCCACTGCCTGCAATAAAAAATTTTTTCCCAAATGTATTGATTTTTAAAATTTATTTAAGAGGCAAAGAGATAAGACTGAGAAATCTTCCACCTGTTGGTTTACTTCCCAAATGCCTACATGGCTGGAACTGAGCCAGGCCAGAGCCAGGAGCAGGAACTCGACCCTAGTCTCCAGCGTGGGTAGCAGGGGCTCATCTACTCGAGCCACTGTGTGCTGCTCCCAGGGTGCACGGTAGCAGGAAGCAGGGATCTGAAGCGGATGCGCTCTGCGGGATGTGGGCATCCTGAGTTCCGCCCACTGTGTCAAATGCCTGTCCCTGGAACCAGTTTTCACACAGCATCTCCAATGGAGAAACACACTGCCAAGCTTCTCATCACATCACGAAATGCTACAAAACTCTTAGAAACATCTCCCCAAACAGTGGTTTAAAAAAATTTTTAAAAGCCAATCACATGGGGCTGGCGCTGTGGCACAGAGAGTTAAAGCCCTGGCCTGCAGCGCTGGCATCCCATATGGGCGCCAGTTCTAGTCCTGGCTGCTCCTCTTCTGATCCAGCTCTCTGCTATGGCCTGGGAAAGTAGTGGAAGATGGCCCAAGTGCTTGGGTCCCCACACCCACGTGGGAGACCCAGAAGAAGCTCCTGGTTCCTGGCTTCAGATCGGCTCAGCTCCAGCCATTGCAGCCATCTGGGGAGTGAACCAGGAATGGAAGATTCCTCTCTCTGACTCTACCTCTCTCTGTAACTCTTTCAAATAAATAAAATAAATTAAAAAAAAAAAAAAAAGCCAAACACATTTCTCAAGAAATAAAGAAATGGGTGGGTGTTGTGGTATAGCAGGTTAAGCTGTCTGCTGGGACTCCAGCATCCCACATCCAAGTGCCTGGGATTAAGTCCCATCTCTCTTCCGCTCTCGCATCCCGGGAGGCAGCAGGCAACGGTCAAGCACATCAGTGCCTGCCATCCATATGGGAGACGCAGACAGTGTTCCAGGCTCCTGGCTAGGATCTGGCCCAGCCCCAGCTGCTCTAGGTATCTGGGGAGTAAACCAGTGGAGGGAAGATCTTTGCCTGTCTGCCTTTCAAATCAATAAAGATTTTTTTAAAAAGGAAATAAAAAATGCAAAAGAAAACTAAGAATCAAGTCACAGGGGGTAAACCTGCCACCTACAATGCCAGCATCCCATGTGGGTGCTGGTTCATGTCCTGGCTGCTGTTTCCAATCCAGCTCCCTGCTAAAGTCCTGGGAATGCAGCAGAAGATGGCCCAAGTGCTTGGGCCTTTGCATCCACATCAAAGACCCAGATGGAGGTCCAGGCTCCTGGCCTTGGCCTGGCCCAGCTGTAGCCGTTGTGGTCATCTGGGGAGTGAGCCAATGGATGGAAGATATCTCTCTCTATATATAACTCTGCCTTTCAAATAAATAACTAAATCTTTTAATTTACATTATTGATGACTTTTTTTTTAATTTATTTTTTTAATACAGGCAGAGTTAGACAGTGAGGGAGAAAGACAGAGAGAAAGGTCCTCCTTCTGTTGGTTCATCCCCCAAATGGCTGCTACGGCCGGCGTGCTGCGCCAATCCGAAGCCAGGAGCCAGGGGCTTCCTCCTGGTCTCCCATGCGGGTGCAGGGACCCAAGCACCTGGGCCATCCTCTACTGCACTCCCGGGCCACAGCAAAGAGCTGGACTGGAAGAGGAGCAACCAGGACAGAATCCGGTGCCCCAATTGGGACTAGAACCCGGGGTGCCGGCGCCGCAGGCGGAGGATTAGCCTGGTGAGCCGCGGCGCTAGCCATGGACAGTACACTCTTAAACTGGGTTACAGCAATGATAGAGACTCAGGGGAAAAGTCAAGAAATATGTAGAAAAAACACAAACAGCCAATCTGGAGACTTGTCAGGTGTGGACAGTGAACCGGAGGAGGCAGCCACGAGATGACTCCCCGTGCCCAGCGAGGGTAACTGAGCAGACATGGGTGCTATTGATCACTTAGAGAAAAGTGAGGCAAAAGGAAGAAGATGGCTCAGATCTGAACACAGTAAAACTGAGGCAGCTGCGGGACAGCAACACAGAGACGTCCCCCACGTGCCTGGAGCTGCAGGAGCCACAGCTCAGGACAGGAATGAGCCAGAGGCAGACATGGAACTCATGAGCACGTAAGTGACGCAGGTAGGAGATATCTGGGGACCCCTACAAGGGGGTGGAGACAGGAACCCATCAAGGACAGAGAGGGTGAGGAGGAGCTGCAAAGTGCCCCACCATGGAAGCCACGGTAGCGTTTCATGGAGGAGGAAGTGGTCAGCAGTGCCCAGCGGAACTGTGGGGAAGACCACAAACACTCAGGAGAGAGAGGATCGAGCGACTCTTGCTGGGATGAGTCCAGCATACAGAAAGGCTGAGCCAAAGGAGCCCAGGAGAGTCCTCACAGAGACCGGAGAGGCAGCAAAGGAGCCGTCCTGCAGGAGACGCGAGGGCAGGGAGCAGGCACAGAGGGGGCACGCTCGGCAGTGGGCGGCCTCGGCCTCTGACCCAGGAGATGAACAGGCAAGCACAGGAGGTGCGCCACCTGGTGCAGGAGGAGGTGAGGCTTTGTGCAGTCCACCAAGGCGCGAGCACGGGGACAAGCAGCAGCAGGGCAGAGTGGGTGTGCCGCGCGGTCCTCACCACCTCTCTCCCTCTGCCGAGCTGTTCAGGAGGCAGCCCTTCAAATGCCATGAAGCAGGAATGCTGCTCATTCATTCACCCCTTGCCCTGTCCCAGCAAATCCCAGACAGCCAAGTGCTACCTGAGTTTTGTCATGTGGTCTCTCAACTTCCTCACGCATTTTTAGGTGACAACAAGCTAATCGGAGAGCAGCCCTCCGGATGCAGCCCCCGCTTCTGTATTTGGAAGCCCCCTCTTGCAGAGCTCTGTAGCAATGAGCCCCTGGCTCTGCTCCCTGACTGCTGCTTGCTCTCCAGGGCTCAGACTCTGCAGAGGAAGGAAACGCGTCCCACAGGTGATTGACAAGGCGAGCCTGGGTTTGGAAGCGGTGGGGTGGCAGCCACATTCCAGGGCTCCTGTGACATGTCTTCAGCAAACACTTCTCAACTTCACAGTTAAAAGCCATCCTCAGTAGTTTACTATTAATAGACACCTTGTTAAAAATGAGTCAAGGAATGTAACGAGATTACATTCTAAGTATACCTTCTATGTGTTGAAAAGGAAAAAAGAGAAAACCACGGCGCACGTACTTCACATATGTCTGATCCATCTGGCACCATGTATTTGAACACACTTTAAAAATATCTGGGGCCAGTGCTGTGCTGGGGTAGGCTAACTGCCTGTGGCACTGGCATCCTATATGGGTGCCAGTTCTGGTCTCGTTTCTCCTATTCCAATTGAGCTCTCTGCAAATGGCCTGGAAAAGCAGTGGAAGATGGCCCAAGCGCTTGGGCCCCTGCACCCGCATGGGAGACCCAGAGGAAGCTCCTGGCTCCTGATCAACCCAGCTCCAGCAGTTACAGCCATCTGGGGAGTGAACCAGCGGAAGGAAGACCTCTCTCTTTGCCTCTCCTTCTCTTTCTGTGTAACTCTTTCAAATAAATAAACAAATAAATCTTTAAAAGAGAGAGAGAGAGAGAAGTCTTTTTTCTTTTTCTTTTTTAATTTATTTGACAGAGTTAGAGAGAGACAGAGAGAAAGGTCTTCCTTCCATTGGTTCACTCCCCAAATGGCTGCTACGGCCAGAGCTACGCCCATCTGAAGCCAGGAGCCAGGTGCTTCCTTCTGGTCTCCCATGTGGGTGCAGGGACCTAAGCACTTGGGCCATCCTTCACTGCCTTACTGGGCCACAGCAGAGAACTGGACTGGAAGAAGAGCAACTGGGACTAGAACCCGGCACCCATATGGGATGCCGGCGCCACAGGCAGAGGATTAACCAAGTGAGCCATGGCGCCGGCCCGAGAGAGAGGTCTTTCATCCACTGGTTCACTTTCCAGTTGATCTGAAGCCAGGAGCCTGGAGCTTCTTCTGGGTTTCCCATTTGGGTACAGGAATTCAAGGACTTGGGCTATCTTCCACTGTTTTTCCAGGCCATAGCAGAGAGCTGGATCAGAAGTGGAGCAGCCAGGACTCAAACTGGCGCCGCTATGTGATGTCAGCACTGCAGGCGGCAGCTTTACTCGCTACGCCACACCGGCGGCCCCTGGTTGCTCCAACTACTTGGGCCCCTGCACCCGTGTGGAGACCTGGAAGAAGCTCCTGGCTCCTGTCATCAGTCTGCCCCAGCCCTGGCTGTTGTGACCATTTTGGGAGTGAATCAGTGGATGTAAGATCTCCTCTCTCTGTAACTCTTGCCTTTCAAATAAATAAATCATAAAAAAAAAAAAAAAAATCCAAGGAAGCAGAGGCCGTGTTCTCAAGCCCCAGACCAACCTGCAATGGTGGAGATCTGGCTCACAGGGATGGTGGCAGCCTTCTGGAGGTCCATCTTGATCTTCTTGGCCTGTGGGAAGACAGCAGTCGAGGGCAGTGTGGAACAGCAGAGCAGCTGCCACTTGGGAGCAGGGACAGGGTTGCACCAGCTACATTCCTTAGGGACATGAGGCTGTGGGAAGCACTCGGAGGCCCAGAGAATTCTCGCCACCCACCCCTGCCCTACCTGGATGTCCTTGCTGCTGGTCAGGCCCTCAAAGGCCCTCACGCACTGAGAGGACACCTCCTGCAGCTGCTGGTACCACTGCATTGTACTGTCTTGCACCTTCACCTGGAGGGCTGCACGACGGGAAAACGGTTTCAATAGCAGCTAGTGTTACTGAGGAGCAGTGTGGGCAGGTGTGGGACAGCAGGTGGCCACAGGCATCACACAGGAGAGCCTGGGGACTGGGGCCTGCCGCCACTCCCAACACAGCCTCCTACTGATGTGCACCGTGGGAAACAGCAGATGACGGCTGAAATACTCGGTCCCTGCCACCCACAGGAGAGAACAGATGGTGGTCTAGGCTCTCAGTTTTGGCTGGCTGGCTGGCTATTGTGGGATTTGGGAAGTGAACCAACAGATGGAAAATCTCTGTCTTTCAAATAAATTAATAAAACAAAGTATTATTAATAATATCTAGCATAATAGCTAATGTGAGCTAGACACTTTTAAAAAATACTTATTTATTTTCATCTATTTGAGAGTCAGAGTGACAATGAGAGAGAGAGAGATTCTCCATTTGCTAGTTCCTACTCCCAATGCCTGCAACAGTGAGGGTCAGACCAAGCCAAAGTCAAGAGCCTGGAACTCCACAGGTCGCCCTGTGGCAGCAGAAAGCCCAAGCCTCCAAGTCGTCCTCTGCCACCTCTCAGGAAGCGAGGCTGCCCGTGTCCTGACCCACTGCGCCACCACTTCCACACCTTTATTTTTGACTTTGGGCTAGTTTACTTTGAAGGTCATTTTAAAAACAAAGATATAGACAATATGAGAAGACATTGCATGGAACACACTCATCAAAAATCCATGGTGATTAAATCAAATCAAGATGAGGAAGACACATTCTTTTAACTCCAGAAATATCTTGTAGTCCTGAAGGTTCTGATGCTACCAGAAAGGGAGAAAAGCATGGTGATTGAAGCTGCCTCTTAGTCACGTAAATCAACAGTAGCAACCAAATTTTTTGTTTCTTCCTGCTAAGTCAGTTTCTATATTCAAATTGCTCCCTATCTTTTTAAAAGATTCAGATGAGGCCGGCGCCACAGCTCACTAGGCTAATCCTCCGCCTGTGGCGCCGGCACACCGGGTTTTAGTCCTGGGAGACCAGGAGAAGCACCTGGCTCTTGGCTTCGGATCAGCGTGGTGCGCTGGCCACAGCGGCCATTGTGGGGTGAACCAATGGAAAGGAAGACTTGTCTCTCTGTCTACTCTGCCTGACAGAAGATAAGAGACCACAATGAAAAAAAAGATTCAGACGCTAGAAATTCAATGGGATTTGGTGGTTTTCCTTTGCAAGCACAGCACGGCCCTGTAGTAAGACAGGCACAACTGGCTGATCAAGGCAGGCACAGACTGGCAAAGACTATGGCTCTACCTTCCATCCTGATGATGCTCCTGCATTAACCTTCTCACTTCCTGCTGTCTTCTCTACGCTGTCTAGACTGTACTCAGAAGCAGGCCATCGCCGCCGCCTGCATGTCTCTCCAGCACCTGCTCTGGCCCTGTGGCAGGCCTGCAAGGCACGGTTCCAGACACCAGCCCACACCCAAGCCGCTCCTTCCTAAGAGGGCCCATGTCTTTTAAAAGAAGATTGTTTGCTGGTTTAATTGAAAGAGAGTGACAGAGAGACAGAGAGACAGAGAGAGAGAGAGAGAGAGAGAGAGAGATAGCTTCCATCTGCTGGTTCATTCCCCAAATGCCCACAACAGCCCGGACTAGCAGTCGGAAGTCAGGACTCAGAACTCCATCTGGGTCTCCCATGAAGACGGCAAGAACCCAAGTACTGGGGTCATCATCTGTTTCCTTCCAGGACGCAATAACAGAAAGGTGGACTGGAAACACAGTAGTGGGGACTTGAATGAGCGCTCTGATATGGGATGCTGGCATCGCCAAGTGGCGGCCTAACCTGCTGTGCCAATGCCGGCCCCACTGGCTATTTCAACGGTCACAATAACACCGTGAAGTAGATACGACTACTGCTGCCTCTATTGGTTACTGAAACAGAAACAGGCACATAAAGGTTGAACGTGTGCCAAGGTCATGCTGCTCATGCACAGCAAAATGAGACTCCACCAGCCTGGCTTCAGAGCCACCATGGTCAGACACTCATTCTCACGTCAGACACTCATTCTCACGTCAGACACTCATTCTCACGTCAGACACTCATTCTCACACGCATTACATGAACACATCTATACGTACTTACTAAAAATACTAAGCAGCACCGACACTTGGAATAACAGGTCTACTAAAAATATTTAGACTTTTGGGGCTGCTACTGTGTAGTGAGCTAAGCTGCCACCTGCAACACCAGGAGCCCACATGAGCAGTGGTTCAACTCCCAGCTGCCCTACTTACAATCCAGCTCCTACTAACAGGCCTGGGGAAGCAGTGGAAGGCGGACCAAGTACATGGATTCCTGCCATCCATGAGGGAGATACAGAGAGCTCTGGGCTACTGGCTTCAGCCTGACCAGCTCAGGCTGTTGTGCCCATTTGGGAAGTAAACTAGCAAATGGAAGCCATGCACACTTTCCCTCTCTTTCAGATAAATAAAACAACCTTTAAAATAAATTAGAGGGGCTGGTGTTGCGGTGTAGCAGGTAAGTGAGGCTGCCACTCCACATGGGTGCCAGTTCGAGTTTCAGCTACTCTACTTCTAATCCAGCTCCTTGCTAATGTGTCTGGGCCCCTACACCCACGTGGGAGACCCGAAATAAGCTCCTGGCTCCTGGCTGCAGACTGGCCCAGCTCTAGTCATTGTGGCCCTCTGGAATGTGAACCAGTGGATGGAAGACTTCTCTCTCTCCCTTTGTCTCTTTTAAATAAATACATGAATAAATATTTTTTAAGAAATTAGAGTTTCAGGCTCTTACATGAAGTGTGGGAATGGGGCTGGCATGGCGGCACAGCAGGTAAGGCTGCCACCTGCAATGCTGAATCTCACGGAGCACCAGTCTGAGTCTCAGCTGTTCAACTTCTGATCCAGCTCCCTACTAAAGGACCTGGAAAACCAGCAGAGGATGGCCCAAGTGCTTGGGTCCCTGCACCCATGTGGATGGAGTTCCAGGCTCCTGGCTTCAGCCTGGCCCAGCCCCAGTTGTTGTAGCCATTTGGGGAGTGAACCAGCAGACTCTGTCTCTCCCTCTCTCTCCCTCTCTCACTGTAACTCTGCCTTTCAAATAAATAAAATGAATCTTAACAAAAAAAAAATAATAATGATGTGGGAAGCACAACTGAATGTAACACATTATATAAAACTTAACACGATATGCACACTCCCATTTCCTTTCCTGATCTCAAACTTGACACTGAGTAACAGGACTGCACCCACACTGACCCACCTCCATGCTGTTTGTCTCTTGGGCCCTGGCTGGGAGCCGCCGACTCCTTGTGGGCCTCCTGGCCCTGGTGCATCTGTGACTCCTGCAGTCTGGCCTGGGCCTCCTTTTCCTCCTGCTGCTTCTTGTCTTCGCAGGCTCTGGTGATCTCCTGCCCCAAGTTCACCAGGAGGTCACGCATTTCCTGCAGGGCTTGCTCAGCCTCAGCCTGGTTCTCTGCTGTAGGGTAGCCGCTCTGCCACAGGGACAGAGACACAGCTTAGTGCTCGTTCCCTAATAATGACCTGGAAAAAGCAGTGGAGGACAGCCCCAGTGTTTGGGCCTCAGCCTCCCACATGGGAGGCCCAGATGAAGCTCCTGGCTTCAGCCTGGCCCAGAACTGGCTGCTGGCCATTGTGGCCATATGGGGAATCTGTCTCTAACTCTGACTTTTAAATAAAGTAAATAAATCTTAAAAATAAATAAAGTTTGTGACAATGTGCTAGATAAAAGTGATAATGCTTTAATTTGCACTGCATATATTAATGCTTGTTTTGGACTTATTTTCACATTTAATAGGCACTTACATATATAACTTTGCTTTTCAAAGCTGCATGTCCTGTCCTTTGATGGAAACAATAAGTGAATGTGACTTATTTAATATTTCCCATAAACTTTAAGAACTCCGTATCAAGGACATTAATTCATGGTCTACTACCTATGTTACAGATGTTATTTCCCTCCTGGCTCCTGGCTTCGGCCTGGCCCAGCCCTGGCCATTGCAGCCATCTGAGGAGTAAACCAGCAGATGAAGATCTCTCTCTGTTTCTCTTTCTTGCTCTCTAACTCTGCCTTACAAATAAGTAATCTTAAAAAAACAAACTGCTTGTAAGGTTTGGCATTTCAAAGGAGAAACCCAGAAGCATTCTGACCCTCCCTTACCTCTGAGGAGGCCCGAATGATGCCCGAGACGAGGCTGCACAGCTGGTTGCCTCGGGTCCGGAAGGCGGCCAGGTCGACGTTGGGCAGGTCCCTGTGCTGGTCCGAGGCGTCCAGCTGCTGGCTGAGCTGCAGCACCTCCTCCTGCAGGGAGTAGAGGCTGCGCAGGCGGACCTGGCCCTCCTCCCTCCACAGCCGCTCCTGCTCCACCTGCTTCAGCCGCTGCTGCTCTGCCTCCCGCAGCTTCAGGTTCAGGATCTACAGGCAGGGACACGGGGTCACTCTCTCTGACGGGCTCCCGGCCTTGCTCTTTCTTCCTCTCTCAATGCCTGCGACGGCGGGCTCAGACAGGACAAGGATTGCCCATGGTCCCTCCCACAGGCACGACACGGGCCAGGCCCTCCCTGCTGACCACCCGCCAGAGCCCGACCCTTCACCGAGACACCATGCGCACTCCCCCGGCTCGCACCTTGGCTCTGTGCCGATGCTCAGCTTTTAGCTTCTCCTGGTGCCCCAGGGCTTCTCTGGCGCTGAGTGCAAAGCAGCAGAGAGGGGTCAGGGACGCTTCTAGGCGCTGCTTGGCGTCCCCCGAGGCCTCCCGCCCGGGTCACATCGTCCTCTCTCCAAGGGCGCTCATCCTGGCAGGCTGGAGGCTTCCCCACTTTATCTCGGTATTAAGGACTCAGGAAGCAGCTCCAGCTGCTCCCACTCAGGCAGACTCACCTCTTCTCGATCACTTCCCGTAAGTCCTGGAACTCCTTGTGCTGCTTCAGCTCCTTCCGCTCGTCAAAGCGCTTCAGCTGCTCACAGGCCATCTCCGAGAGGGCGCGCACCCTCCTCTCTTGCTCCTCCTGCCACTGCCGCAGGCCCTCCTGCAAGGGAACGGCACCCACCGTGCTCCAAGCGTTCTGCCGCACCTTCCCCACCCTGCCGCGGGTCCTTAGGGCACAGAAGCATCCGCTCACTTCCCAGAGCGCCGACAGCCCTCCCTCTGCAGAGCTGCTCTGGAAAGCTTTCCCACTCTGGCCACACAGTTAATGTCACTCCAGTATGAGCTGGGAGTGGACAGGGTACGTGGCAACACAGAAAAACAGCCATATGTACACTTTTTTTTTTTTTTTAAGATTTATTTATTAGAGGTCTTCCATCCGCTGGTTCACTCCCCAGATGGCTGCAACGGCCAGAGCTGTGCTGATCCGAAGCCAGGTCTTCCGGGTCTCCCATGTGGGTACAGGGGCCCAAGGACTTGGGCCATCTTCTACTGCTTTCCCAGGCCATAGATCAGAGCTGGATTGGAAGTGGAGCAGCTGGGACTCGAACCAGTGACCAAATGGGATGCTGGCGCTGCAGGCAGCGGCTTTACCAGCTACACCACAGCACTGGCCCCCATACAAACACTGTTAAGGTTCCATTCTGTGCGCTCTGACAAGGGTTCCACATAATCTAGATATCCTTATTCTCATGCCACAAACTAGCTATGCAAATTGTTTTACTCCTTTCCTCGCATTATTATCTCCATCTACACTTTCTCCCGCACCCCCACTAAGGAAAATCCCTTTCCTTACTGCACAGGGAAAAAAATACCTAAGGGAATCAGATATTTCATTGGAGCTCTCTTATGGTTTTTAGGGCAATAAAACATTTTTAGAAAACTTTTTTTGGGCCAGCACTGTGGCAAAGCAGGTTAAGCCACTGCCTATGATGCTGGCAATCATATAAGCTGGTTCGAGTCTCAGTTGCTCCACTTCTGACCCAGTTCCCTGCTAATGTGCCTGGAAAAGCAGCAGAAGATGGACCAAGTGCCTGGTTGCCTGCATCCACGTGTTAGACCTGGATAGAGCTCAGGCTGCTGTCTTTGGTCTGGCCTAACCATGGCCATTACAGCCATCTGGAGAGTGAACCAGCAGATGGAAGACCTCTCTCTCTCTCTGTCATTCTGCCTTTCAAATAAATAAATAAATCTTTTTAAAAATAAAAATAATAAAAGTATCGGAGAGGGAGAGACAGACAGACAGATCTTCCATCTACTGGTTCACTCCCCACATGGCTGTAACAGACAGAACTGGGCCACGCTGAAGCCAGGAGACTGGAATTTCATCCAGGTCTCCCGTGTTGGCTGCAGAGGTTCAAATACTTGAGCCATCATGAGCTGCCTTCCCAGGCACACAGGCAGGAAGCCAACAGGCAGGGGAACAGCAGGGACTTGAACGAGCACTCGGATATGAGACACCTGCTCACAAGCAGCAGCCACTACGCACAGTGCCAGCCTCTAATATGACGTTTTAAAACATTGTGAAATCCATGCATAGTTTTTGTTTTCTTTTTTAAGATTTGGAGTTGTGTTTTTTGGTTTTTTTTTTTTTTTTTTTTTTTTTTTTTTTTTTTTTTAAGATTTATGTTACAGAGGTAGAAACAGAGATAGAGAGAGATCTTCCATCCTCTGGTTCACTCCCCGAATGGCTGCAATGGCTGGAGCAGGGCCAATCTGAAGCCAGGAGCTTCTTTGGGGTCTCCCACGTGGGTGCAGGGGCTCAAGGACTTGGACCACCCTCTGTTGCTTTCCCAGGAGCATTAGCAGGTACCTGGATTGGAAGTGGAGTAGCCGGGACTCGAACCAGCACCCATATGGGACATTGGCGCTGCAGGCTGGGGCTTTAATATGCTGTGTCACTGCACCAGTCCAATGTGACATTTTACCTATCAAAATTTAAAGTAATACAAATCCTTTGACACTAATTTCACTTTAGGAATTTATCCTGAATGAATGCAAAGATATGCATACACAGATATTCACTGCCTCCCTGCTAACAGTAATAAACTCACAACAAAGTATCTGGGGAATGATGAAATGCATCACAGTACAGTCGTGCTGCAGAACACCGTGCAGCCCTTCAAGAAGAGGAGACGCTGTCCTGCGTCAGGGATACACGCCAAAGCATCCTGCTGGGGCGGGACTGTGGCACCAGAGGTGCAGCTGCCACCTGTGATGCTGCTATCTCCTAAGAGCACCAGTTCATGTCCAGGCTGCTCCCTATAAACGAGCTTGGGAAAGCAGCAGAAGATGGCCAAGTGTCTGGGTCCCTGCACCCATGTGGGAGACCTGGGGGAAGCTCCCGGCTCCTGGCTTCAGCCTGGCCCAGCCTGGGCTCTTGTGACCATTGGTGGAGTAAACCAGTAGATGGGAGATCTCTTGATCTTTCTTCCTCTGACCCCCACTTCCCTAACTCTTTCAAATAAATAAATAAATAATCTTGGGGCCGGTGCTATGGTATAGCGGGTAAAGCCACCGCCTTCAGTGCCAGAATCCTATATGGGTGCTGGTTCGAGTCCCGGCTGCTCCTCTTCCCATCCAGCTCTCTGCCATGGCCTGGGAAAGCAGTGGAGGATGGCCCAAGGCCTTGGGCCCCTGCAACTGCCTGGGAGACCAGGAAGAAGCTCCTGGCTCCTGGCTTCGGATTGGCGCTGCTCCAGCCATTGTGGTCATCTGGGGAATGAACCAGTAGATGGAAGACCTCTCTCTATCTCTCTCTGCCTCTGCACTCTGTAACTCTGCCTTTCAAATAAATAAATATATCTTTACAAAAATATTTTGTTAACATATTATGACATTCTAGTTAAATTTACTTTAAGCTTCAAGCACAAGAAGGCAAACTGAACTCAAGCACAGTCCTCCGTGATGGCTAAAATGAGAATTGGGAAGGAAAAAGACAACCAGGGAGAGCAGGAGGGAGAGCATCAGCAGGAAAACGTGTCCACAGACTGGAAGATGGAAGCTGGTGCAGGAGCAGTGCGTGACAGAGCAAAGCTGAGCAAAGACACACACACACACACACACACACACACACACACGCATGTACACACAGACAAATACACAGAGGCAGACCATGCCTCAAGGGAGCTGAGAAGCCTAGGAAAGGCCAGGTCTGACAAAGTGGGCCTCATGGGGCTGAAAATGGAAAGATAAGCTAACAACAGTCAATTCTTGTCTACCCACCATCCTTAGACCAAAACAGGCAGCAGCCAAGCATTTCTGCTGTCATTTGTCGTTTGTTTTTTTAAGATTATATTTATTTGAAAGGCAGAGTGACAAAGAGACGGACAGAGAGGTTTCCCATTCACTGGTTCACTTCCCAAGTGGCAGCAACAGTCGAGACTGGGCCAGGCCGAAGCCAGGAGCCAGGAGCTTCCCCCAGGTCTCCCGGGTGGGTGCAGGGCCCAAGCACGTGGGTCATCCTCTGCTGCTTTCCCAGCTCTATTAGCAAGGAGCTGGATCAGAAGTGGAGCAGCTGCAACTCAAACCGGAGCCCATGCGGGATGCCGGTGTCACAGGCAGCGGCTTCTCCCCTGTGCACACAGAGGGCCCACACCTCGCTTTTTTTTTTTTGACAGGCAGAGTGGACAGTGAGAGAGAGAGACAGAGAGAAAGGTCTTCCTTTTTCCATTGGTTCACCCTCCAATGGCCGCTGTGGCCAGTGTGCTGTGGCCGGCACACTGCGCTGATCTGAAGCCAGGAGCCAGGTGCTTCCTCCTGGTCTCCCATGGGGTGCAGGGCCCAAGCACCTGGGCCATCCTCCACTGCCTTCCAGGGCCACAGCAGAGAGCTGGACTGGAAGAGGAGCAACCGGGACAGAATCCGGTGCCCCGACCGGGACTAGAACCCGGGGTGCTGGTGCTGCAGGCGGAGGATTAGCCTAGTGAGCCATGACACCAGCACACACCTCGCTTTTTAAAAAAGATTTATTTTCTCTGTTGTAGTAATTTCAAAACTAAATCTGCAAATGCTGACACCTGTCCTACCCCCTCCACTGTTCAATCTTGATGACTATCTTGACAAACAGAAATCGGCAAAGTTATGCCATCTGACTTCTGAGACTGGGTTAGAGAAGGCAATCCATGAGTACCTGGCACAGTTGTTCACACAGTGCTTGTGGGCTCACATCTCGTATCAGAGCGCTTGGATTCAAGTTCCAGCTCCTGCTCTGTGCACGCGGAGAGGCAGCAGGTGATGGCTCAAGGACTTGGATCCCTGCCAACCTGGATTGAGTTCTGGGACCCTGGATTCAGGCTGGCCCAGCCCTAGCTATTGTCAGCAGCTGGGGAGTGCGTCAGCGGGTATGAGATCTCTTTCTTCCTCTGTCTCTCTGCTTTTCAAAGAAGGGGAGCGGAGGAAGGAGGGACATGCAGCTCTGCTGGCTTCTCTTCAATGCTTGCTCCTGGAACTGACCACCACGGTTTGATGAAGCCCTGCCTACATGGGCACAGGGCAGGTGTTTCAGCTAACAGATAATCTTAGTTACCAGACAAGAGAATACGGAAAACACTGACAAGAGTCCAGGCTCAGCCACTGAAGCCACAAGAAACCACCACAAAGAAGCTCTTAGCTGGGGCCAGTTTTGTAGTGCAGTGGGTTAACCCACAGCTTCTAACACTGGCATCCCACATCAACTGCCAGTTCAATGCCAGCTGCTACACTTCCAGTCCAGCTTCCTGCTAATGAGCCTGGGAAGGCTCAAGTACTTGGATTGCTGTCATTCATGTGGGAGACCTGGATGGAGTCCCTGGCTGTGCGGCCATTTGTGGAGTAAACCAGAGGACAGACAACCTCCGTCTCTCCCTGTCACTCCCGCTGCTTTCCCTGGACATGAGCAAGGAGCTGGTTCAGAAGCTGAACAACTGAGACTTGACCAGCACTTCCGAATGGGATGTCATGTGATAGTGGTGTTACAGTGGCGGCTTAACTCGCCACACTACAACGCTGGCCCTAATAAATAAACCCTAAAAAAAAAAAAGAAGGGAGCATAACAGACTTACTTCATAAACTCCTGGTTTCCAAGAAATTTTTACAAAATCATGCATTGTTTTTTAATTTTTAAAAAAGGCAAGTTAATTAAAATAGCACCTTTTCCAAGAGACTGTTAATTTATCATCTTCACAGTATAACCTTTAAATGAAAACTCCAAGATTTGAAAATGGTCAATAGAAGCCAGGAAAGCTACTCATTTTTCCCAAAGCCATGCAAAATGGAAGCACCAGGATTTGAAACCAGATCTGACTTCTGCATGCTTGCACTTGACCTCTACATTATACTACCCCCTGCGTCGGAGCAAGGAGCGCTGCAAGTGTGGGACACGAGATTAGGGCTCAGTGCCACCCCAAGCCCTGAGGCTTTCAGTGAAATGAGGCTCCCGGGGCCAAGTCTGCCCCACTTCCGGGGTCACTCACCGCTCCCTTCATTCTGTGCACCTGTTCGTACATTCGGATGCATCCTTCGACTTGGATCCCCCGGGAGGACTGAAGCGCTATACATTCTGGATGCTGGGACTCAGGTTTGTCCTGCAAAGATGGAGGTGGAAAAGAATTCAGCTTTTCAGCATCGTAAGCATGGTGTCATCTCTTCAAGACAAGAACCACATCCCAACTTACAAACCACCACCAATAACAACAACAAAATTACTAGGTGATCAGCACAGTGCTTTCCACGGCATTGACCTTGTTCTAATCGCTTTACTAAATTGATGCCCAGTCCTCTGGGTGGTGTTTGCTCTGCTTGCCTGCTTGCCTGTTTCACTCTACCCAGCACATTTGCTGCCTTTCCTGTAAGCGTCCATTTGTCTGGAGGTGCTCTGGACAGAACATGAGCCCAGGTCTGCAAACATCCCCACTGCTGGCCTCAGACGTTGGCCAGCCTGGTAAAGTGCTATTCTCCGGCACCCAGCATCTATTTAAAGAGGCACATGAGCCAAGCCAGGCCAGGTTCTTTATGGTTTCTGACGGAATCGCCTGGAAGGACTTGCTTCCTCTTCAGGGGATGCTAGTCTAAGGAGATGTGAGGCTGGGGCTCCCAGGAGCCACCAGGCCACCTACCTGGAAAGTTAAACCAAAAGTTAGGCAGAAATGAGAGCTGCCCAGGCAAAGCCCTGTGACTGGGTCACTGGATCAAGTCATAAAGAATGCCAAGTGTGCATCCTGGGAGGCAGCAGGTGATGGGTCAAGTACTTGGGTCTCTGCTGCCCACATTCTGAGTTATGGGTTCCTGGCTTCAGCCTGATTCAGCCTCAGCTGCTGCAGGAATTTGGGGAGTGAACCAGTAAATGGAAGGTGTCTCTCTGTCTCTCTGCCTTTTAAACAAATAAAAAATGAATAACTGAGAAAAAAAGAAAAGAAATAAGGCCAAGCAGAGACAAGCAGAACATAGATCTTCCAGATCTAATTGCAGATGTACTCCCAGACTTCCTGGCAATATTTATTTATTTAGAGAGGAAGAGAGAGAGAGAGAGGACAGAGAGGTCTTCCATCCGCTGGTTCACTTCTCAAATGGCTTCCAACACCCAGGTCTGGGCCAGGCCAAACCCAGGAACCAGGAACTCCATTCAGACCCACCACGTGGATGCAGGGGCCCAGCCACGTGGCCCGTCTTCCGCTGCCTCCCCATGCACATTAGCAGGGAGCTGGATCGGACGCAGAGCAGTCTGGACTGGAACCACAGCACTGACACGTGAGGCCAATAGCAAGCAGTGGCTTAATCCATTGTGCAATAATTTCTTCCCATCTCTCGTGCTACACAAACTACATTACTTAAACACAGAAATTTCAAAACAATAAATGGTGAAAGGAATGTGGACGTTGTCAGAATAAAATGGAAAAGCCAGATTGTGGCACACCCTGCTGAGCCACCGTCTGCACCATGAGCATCACAGGTTAGAGCACCCGTCCACTCCAGCACTGCCTGCTCTGCTGCTGCTTCCTTTTTTTTGAAAGGCAAAGTTAGAGAGAGGGAGGAAGGAAGTCTATCCACTGGTTCACTCCCCAGATGGCCTCAACGGCTGGAGTTGGGCAGGTCTAAAGCCAAGAGCCACTTCAGAGTCTCCTGCAAGGGTGCAGGGTCCCAAACACGTTCTTCCATCCGCTGGTCACCCCCCAGATGGCTGCATCTGCCAGGGCTGGGCCAGGCCAGAGCCAGGGGCTTCTCTCCAGTCTCCCATGTCGGGCAGCAGGGGCCTCTGCTTCCCCAGGCCATTAACAGGGAGCTGGATGGGAAGTGGAGCAGCCAGGACTTGAACCAGCAATCCTATGGGATGCCAGAGTCGCAGGTGGCAGCTTTCCCTGCTACACTACAACACTGACCCCAGTAAAGAAATCTTTTAATTTTTTTATGATTTATTTATCTGAAAGGCAAAGTTACAGACAGAGGGAGAGACAAAGAGATCTTCCACCCACTGGTTCATTCCCAATCCAAAGCGATGAGGGTGCAGGTGCCCAAGCACTTGGGCCATCTTCTACTGCATTCCCCAGCCATCAGCAGGGAGTTGGACTGGAAGTGGAGCAGCCAGGATTCGAACCGGCACCCATACGGGATGCCGGCTTAACCTACTACGCCACAGTGCTTGCCCTCCCAGTCAATCAATCTTTAAAAGCAATATTTTCATGTGCTTAGTTGCCATCTGCACTCATTAATTTCTCAGGTAAAATGGTCTGACCATATCTTTTGCCTGCTTTCATTTTCTTTTAATTTGTGTTTATTTGAATGGCAGAGAGAGAGAGAGCTCCCCTCCGCTGGTTCTCTCCCCAAATGCCACGACAGCTGGGGCTGGGCCAAGTGGAAGCCAGGCTCTGGGAGCTCAGTCGGGTCTTTCTCACATGAGTGACAGGGACTCAGCTACTTGAGGATCACCTGCTGCCCCTGAGTGTGCCCCAGCAGGAAACTGGACCAGGGGAGGAGCCAGGACTTCAGGCACTTGGATACGGGATGCAGGCATTCCACCTGTTGTCCCAATTGCTATCCCACTCCCCCCTAACCATTTCTGTTAAGAGCTCTTTATAAATCCTCCATGAAAAGAACCATGTACTCTTTTATAAAGTGAATGATCATCTCATAATGCCTTTTAAGGTTATTTATCACAGAGTGAGTTTCTATTTATCAGGAGTAACACTTCTCCACAGATGATATACTAATGGCCAATAAGCACATGAAAAGAAGCGCAACATCACTAATCACTAGGCAAGCGTAAGTCAAAACCATAGTGAAATTTTACATCATATTTACTACGATGATTTAAAAAGATAGGGAGGGAACAGCACTGTGGCACAGTAGGTTACGCGTCTCATATGGGCGCCAGTTCAAGTTCCGGCTGCTGCACTTCTGATACAGCTCCCTGCTAATGCACCCGGGAAAAGCAGCAGAGAACGGCCCAAGTGCTTGGGCCTCAGCATCCACATGGGAGACCCGAAAGAAACTTCTGGTTCCTAGCTTTAGACTGGTCCAGCACCAGCCATCGTGGCCATTTAGGGAATAAACCAGCAGACAGAAGATCTCCCTCTCTCTCTGTCTCTCCCTGAAATTCTGCCTTTCAAATAAAAAATAAACAAATCTCTAAAAAATAGAGGGGAAGGGTGAGGGGCTGGCACTGTGGCACAGGGAGTTAAGTTGCCTCCTGCAGCGCCAGCATCCCACATGGCGCCGGTTCAAGTCCCAGCTGCTCCACTCATGATCGGCTCCTGCTGACACGCCTGGGAGAGCAGCAGAGGCTGGCCCCAGAGCTTGGGTCCCTGCACCTAACACTGGAGACCTGAATGGAGTTCCGGCTCCTGGCTTGGGTCTGACCCAGCCCTGGATACTGTGGCTATTTGGGGAGCAAATCAATGGACAGAGATCTCTCTCTCTGTAACTCTGCCTTTCAACTAAATAATTATCGAACAAACTACAAAAAAAAAAGGAGAAGAAGAACACAAAACAACAAATGTTGCAAGAATATGGAGAGGGGTGGGGGTTTGGTGCAGGGGTGAAGGCAGCACCCAGAACTTCCTGAGTCCCACACTGGAGTGCCTGGGTGGGGGTGCTGACTTGGCCTCCAGATTCCAGCTTCTTGCTAACCTGCTTCCTGGGAGGCAGCAGGCGATAATTCAAGTATTTGGGTTCACGCCACTCAAGTGGGAGATACCGGCTGAGTTCAGGCTGCTGGCCTCCACCTGGCCCAGCCCTAGCTGTTGCAGGTATTTGGGAAGTGAACCAGCAGAAAGGAGACCTCTCTGTGTCTTTCAGCCTTTCAAGCAAATTAAAAAAAAAAAAAAAATGGAAAAACTGGAACCTTTGTGCACTGCTGGTGGGAAGGTCAAACAGTGCAGCAGCAGCTGCTGTGGAAAACAGTGTGGTGGTGACTTCTCAAGACACTGGGCAGAGGGGCTGGCACTGCAGTGCAGTGGGGTAAGCCAACGCCTGCAATGTCGGCATCATATTATGAGCACCGATTCATGTTCGTCACTCTACTTCTGATCCAGCTCTTCCTGCTAAGGGTCTGGGAAAAACAGCAGCAGATGGCCCAAGTGTCTGGACCCCTGCACCCATGTGGGAGACCCAGATGAAGCTCCTGGCTCCGGCCTGGCCCATCCCAGGTCACTGTGGCCATCTGGGGAGCAAACCAGAGGATGGCAGATATCTCTCTAACTCTTTCAAATAAATAAATCTTTCTTTAAAAAGTGATTTTCAAGACATATTGTCAAAAAAATTTAAAGAATAAAGTATCCAACAGTATATTCCACTACCATCATTAAAAAAATGAAGAATATATGCTTTTGTATATTTACAAATACACAAACTACCTCTAGAAATGTACAAAAAAAAGCACCAGAAGTAATAATGTAACTGTTTTTAAGTGAGAGAAACAAAGAAACAAAAGCAGGGACAAAAGAGGCAGCAATAAGGTGAAAACACAGAACCGTGACAAGGTACATCTTAAGAGCAGGGGTCATTTTTATTCTAAGCCTTCCAGGAGCCACCAATAACCTTCATGAGGGAAAAAACCCAACTGCCCACAACGTCAATTACTATTCTTGGTGCTAACAATGGAGAGGTGGCTTTCTGTGTCTTCACAGTCCCTACAGGCGGCTGCAACGAGAAGCAACCATCACATCCCCAGGTCGTTTAATAACATCAACACCTCGACTGTGCGGCCACCACGCCCTGGTCCCAGGTTGGTCCGAACCTTACCTGGACCCCCTCTGGTGTCGTGGGGGAGGCTGAGGAGAAGGCAGAGCTTCTGACAGAAGACCTGGAAACGGACGGGGGTGGGTCTAGGGCTGAGGCGGGTCCAGAGGTGGGTGAAGTCTCAGAGCCAGGTGGGTTCTCTTGCGTGTGGGGTAGAACGTGATCGACCACCCATCCGGAGTAAGGAGACAGCTTGGGAAGAGACATACATTCTTCCAACACATCCTGCGAAGAGGAAGATGGTCAGGCCCAGCTCGCTTGTCAGCTGGCCAGTGCAATCCACGGCACGCCTTCCTGAAGGCCTAAGGGATAATAAATCCATACCAAAACTCGGAGTGATGGTATTATCAGTCAGAGATGAAAAGAAAGTTCAGTGCGTTCTCAACCCCGTCAAGCCCTGTCCAGCACGTAATGACCCTGGTCTGCTATCCTACGGAAAATCAGGCCGGACAACTAACAACAGAGCAGGGAGCTACACGGGGTAATTCTGGGTGTCACCTTGACTGGAGGAACACCTACAAACCTGGAAGGCTTTACTTAGGGTGTGTTTCTGAGGGTGTTTCCAAATGACACTAGCTTGTGAGTCCCGGTGAACCAGGTGGGAAGACCAGGCACTGGAGTGGGTAGGTACAGTGTGAAGACCTGGAGACAGTACATCCAGAGGGTGAACTGGTCTCTTGTTCTGAAAATGGGGATTGGCTTAACTCCCGCCTCGCACATCAGAACTCGACTTGTGGCCTTGGGACTTCGAGCTGTCACAGCAGTGGCCCCCTTGCTGGTACCAGGGCTTTCAGCCTTGAGCTGAGAGTTATCTCCTTGGCTTTCTGAAGTAGGACTGAGCCACGCCACCAGCAACCCAGGATCTCCAGGCTGCAAGCATGTCACTGACTTCCCAGCTGCCATACATGGGTGAGCCAATTCCCCTAAAAAGTCCCTGTTTTGTATAGCTATAGCCACATACACACACACAGGACTTGCTAATAGAACATTCACTGATAGATGAACAACACACAAATCTGAAAGCAATCTAAAGCGCTGGGGTAGATTAGAGCACAGTCAATGGAATACCAGTCATTTAGCAACACTGATAATGAGGGTGGGGAACTGCTGGGCAGGACGCCTGCATCTCGTTATCTCACAGTGGAGTATCTGGGTTTGGTTCCTGGCTCCAGCTCCTGACACCAGCTTCCTGCTAATGTACAGACCCTGGGAGTGGTCAGCAGTGGTGGCTCAAGTAATTGGATTCCTGCCACCCAAGTGGGAGACATGGATTAAATTCCCAGCTCCTTCCTAGGCTTCAGCCTCAGCCCAGCCATCATAGGCATTTGGGGAGTAAGCCAATGAATGGACAATTTCTGTCTCTCACGTTTAAAAAAGTTTTAATAAAAAATATTGAATCCTATTTAATATACTTGAGATTAAAAAAAAAAGCTTTTTAAAGATTTATTTGAAAGTAAGAGTTACAAAGAGAGAGGGAGACAGAGAAGGAGGAGAAAGAGAAAAGAGATCTTCCATCCGTTGGTTCACTCCCCAGAAGACTAAAATGGCCTGATATGGGCCAACCCAAAGCCAGGAGCCAGGAGCCTCTTCCAGGTCTCCCACATAGGTGTCAGGGGTCCAAGCACTTGGGCTATATTCTGCTGCTTATCCCAGCCCATGGGCAAGAACCCAGATTAGAAGTGGAGCAGCCAGGGCCACACTGTGGTGTAGTGGGTAAAGCTGCCACCTGCAATGCCAGCATCCCACATGGGCGCCGGTTTGAGTCCTAGCTGCTCCACTTCCGACCCAGCTCTCTGCCATGGTCTGGAAAAGCAGCAGTAGATGATCCAAGTCCTTGGGCCCCTGCATCTGTGTGGGAAGACCCGAAGGAAGCTCCTGGCTCCTGGCTCCTGGCTCCAGATCAGCGCAGCTCTGGCTGTTGCGGCCAATTAAGGAGTGAACCAACGAATAAAAGACCTCTCTCTCTGCTTCTCCTTCTCTCTCTGTGTAACTCTTGACTTTCAAATAAATAAATAAATCTTAAAAAAAGAAAAGAAGTGGAACAGCCCAGACTTGAACTGGTGCCCACATGGGATGCCGGTGTCAGAGGTCTTACCCACTATGCCACAATGCTGGACCCCCAAAATAGTTTAAACCCAATATGATTACAACTATGCAAAATAAAAACAAATGCCTCAGGACTGGGGCTGTAGTGTAGAAGGCTAAGCTTCTACCTACAGTGCTGGCATCCCATACAGTGCCAGTCCTGGCTGCTCCACTTCCAATCCAGCTCCCTGCTAATGAGCCTGGGAAAGTAGCAGAGGAGAGCTCAAGTAATTGGGGCCCTGCACTCATGTGGAAGACCTGGGAGAGGCTCCTGGATTCAGCCTGGCCCAGCCCCAGCTGTTGTGGCCAACTGGGGAGTAACCAGAGCCGGGAAAACCCAAAGCCAGAAACCAGGAGTTTCTTCTGGGTCTTCCACATGGGTGGCAGGGACCTAAACCCTTGGGTCATCTTTGGCTGCTTTCCCAGGTGCATAAACAGGGAGCTGGATCAGAAGTGGAGCAGCTGGGCATATATATACACACACACACACACACAGACACACACACATACATTTATACATCTCTTTTTAAGATTTATTTATTTATTTGAAAGGCAGAGTTATAGACAGCAGAGAGAGAGACATTGTGGGGGGAGGGAGAGGTCTTCCACCCTCTGGTTCACTTCCCAGATGGCCTGAACGGCCAGAGATGTGCCGATCCGAAGCCAAGAGTCAGGAGTCTCTTCTAGGCCTCCCACGCAGGTGCAGGGCCTAAGGTTTTGGGCCATCCTCCACTGCCCTCCCAGGCCACAGAAGAGAGCTAGACTAGAAGTGGAGCAGCTGGGACTCGAACTGGCGCCCATATGAGATGGCAGCTTTACCTGCTACACCACAGCACCAGCCCCAATATATACCTTTTTATTTTCCCAAAAAGATTTATTTATTTATTTGAAAGGCAGAGTTACAGAGAGGCAGAGGCAGAGAAAGAGAGGTCTTCCATCCACTGGTTCACTCCCCAAATGGCTGCAACAGCTGGAGCTACGCTGATCCGAAGCCAGGAGCCAGGAGTTTCTTCCAGGTCTTCCATGCAGGTGCAGGAAGCATTTGGGCTTTTTTTTTTTTTTTTAAATATTTATTTATGTATTTGCAAGTCAGAGTTACACAAAGAGGAGAGGCAGAGAGAGACAGAGAGAGACAGAGAGAGAAAGGTCTTCATCTGCTGGTTCACTCCCCAAATGGCCACAATGGCCAGAGCTGGGATCATCCAAGGCCAGGAACCAGGAGCCTCTTCCGGGTCTCCCACATGGGTGCAGGCCTTGGGCCATCTTCTACTGCTTTCCCAGGCCAACGACATAGATAAAGTGGGATTTATAACAGGGACTATAACACAAGGCCCAGAGACTCTCCAGTACAAGTGTCGACAACTTGACCAGCTATACCAGTTAACTCTTTTTTTTTTTTTATTTTATTTTTTTGACAGGCAGAGTGGACAGTGAGAGAGAGAGAGAGACAGAGAGAAAGGTCTTCCTTTTGCCGTTGGTTCACCCTCCAATGGCCACCGCGGCCGGCACACCGCGCTGATCCGATGGCAGGAGCCAGGAGCCAGGTGCTTTTCCTGGTCTCCCATGGGGTGCAGGGCCCAAGCACCTGGGCCATCCTCCACTGCACTCCCTGGCCACAGCAGAGGGCTGGCCTGGAAGAGGGGCAACCGGGACAGAATCTGGCGCCCCGACTGGGACTAGAACCCGGTGTGCCGGCGCCGCTAGGCGGAGGATTAGCCTGTTGAGCCGCGGCGCCGGCTTACCAGTTAACTCTTGTGTGCACTGCTTCACACCAATCCTTACACCATTCAACCGTGGTTAAAGTACACAGCAAATTCTTGCTGGGGATTTTATTCGGGTCAGGAAATCGGCACTAATAGGAAATGTGGAGAAACAGGCTAACAGTGACCAAGAGCACTGAGCTTGGAGCCATTCCTCCCTAATTTGAATCTCCTCTGTATGCCACCAACCCGGGTACCCACAGGTGAGGTCACTCTCTCTGGCCTCAGCTTTTTATTTTTTTATTTTATTTATTTATTTATTTATTTATTTGACAGGCAGAGTGGACAGTGAGAGAGAGAGAGAGAGATAGGTCTTCCTTTGCCGTTGGTTCACCCTCCAATGGCCGCTGCGGCTGGTGCACTGCGGCCGGCGCACCGCGCTGATCTGAAGTCAGGAGCCAGGTGCTTATCCTGGTCTCCCATGGGGTGCAGGGCCCAAGCACCTGGGCCATCCTCCACTGTACTCCCGGGCCATAGCAGAGAACTGGATTGGAAGAGGGGCAACCGGGACAGAATCTGGCACCCCGACCGGGACTAGAACCCGGTGTGCCAGCGCCACAAGGCGGAGGATTAGCCTAGTGAGCCGCGGCCTCAGCTTCTTTACTTCTAAAGCGATAACAAAGGCTCCACCTCAAAAGGTTCTGGGAGGGGAAGTACCACACTTGAAGAACCTAGAACCACACCTGGCACATAGTAGGTACACAGCAACCACAAACCTTGTTTTATCTAGATCAGGACGTCTCAAGCAGGGCCAAGCCTACTCCCTATGGACATCTGGCAGGAACTGGAGAGGCTTCAACGGCTACAACCTGATGGGTGCTACCAGTACCTAGTGGGAGGAGGCCAGAGATGCTACTAAACATCCTACAATGCACACATCAGCAGCCCCCTCTCCCAACCCTAACAAAGAATTATCTAGAACAGTAGAACAGCCCAAAATATTAACAGTTAAGATACCAGCCAGATGCTCACTTCGCACATCAGAAGACCTGGATTTAAGCCCTGGCTCCAGGGACCGGTGCTGTGGTGCAGTGGGTTAAGCCACTGTCTGCAGTGCTGGCATCCCTGTGGGCGCCGGTTCAAGTCCCAGCTGTTTCACTACCAATCCAGCTCCCTGCTAATGTGCCTAGGAAAGTGGCAGAGGATGGCCCAGGGACTTGGAACCCTGCACCCAAATGGGAGACCCTGAAGAAGCTCCTGGCTTTGTCCTGGCCCAGCCCCAGCTGTTAAGACCATCTGGGGAGTGTATCAGTAAATGGAAGACCTCTTTGTCTCTCCGAACTCTGCCTTTCAAATAAATAAATCTTGGGGGGGGGGGTGCATCCTGGGAGACATCAAGTGATCCTCCCCCACCACGTGGTAGACCCTGATCGAGTTCCC